CCAGGTCCATTTCATATTTGTTGTACATTATTTATTTGCACATGATTAGAATAAATGCAGGAAAATAGGAATTTTGTATGCCCCTCCCACTCAGGGGCGGCGGAAAATTCCTTGAATGGGGCAACACCAAAATGATACTTTTAAAGAAAAAATGATAGACCTATCCAAGAAAATAATGGAAGAGATTGATGACTATTTAAAAAAAAAAAAATTCTGGTCTAAACATTAGGTTGCCATCTTTTACAAAAAAAAGTCACCACGCATGATAAACCGTTGAGTTATACTACCAACGAGTGGTGCATAATAAACTGGTTAACTTTCCAAGGAATTTACAAGTTATGTTAATTTCTTTAGTAATGTTAGTAATGTTTGATCTTCTTGGTAATTTAAGTAATGTTAATTTGTTAATTATTTTAGTAATATTTTATTTTCTTGGTAATTCAACTTATGATAATTCCATTAGTAATTTGGATTTGTGTAGGCCTACAGCGCTTTGAAACTTTTATGTCACAAGCGCTATATACATTTTTCGTAGTATTATTATTATTATTAGCTATGCGGGAGTATGGAGGAAGGGAGGGAGAAAGAAGGAGAGAGAGAGAGAGAGAGAGAGAGAGAGAGAGAGAGAGAGAAGAGGAAGAGGCAGCCCCTGTTGCATATTCCTTACATAAATCGTGTCTGAAAAGTCTATAATAGTTTGTTGTGCACTGTTATTGTCTGTAAAGTTTAATTTACGTATATATTATAATTTATATTGTTTATCATTTACTTGTGAAATAGGTAGGCCTTACTGATAATGATTATAATAATTAAAACGGAGATCATTAACTGTTATAAAGCGCTTTCCATCGAAGTCTTTAAGCGCTATAACAAACAAATACAATGACAACAATTATATATTATACATAGCATTAGAAATACATCTACATATGAAATTTACATCAATGTAAACAGGGTAAGTTAATCACCAAAATCAATTTTGAATGAATGTATCTTAAGACAAGTTTTGAATTGGTTGACATTCTGACAGTTTTCGACATGTACAAGTAGTTTGTTCCAAAGTTCAGCAGAAGCTTTGCAAAAAGAGCGATGACCATAAGAAAGAGTTGAGACCGAAGTAGACACGAGTTAATTGTGAAGATGGCCGTATAGATTGCGTGATGGTTTGCATTCCTGGATTAGTTCTCGCAGATAAATTGGTGCCAATTCATGAATACATTTGAATTCTAAGTTGAAACCAAGAGTTTGTACATAATGCGGTAAATCACCATCAACCAATGCAATTGCCTGGCAGCAGAGTTGGACTGATCTCACAATCATACAACTCTATTCAGTCGATTTTTTTTTATTATGCTCAAACCTGGAGCAAGGTTCCATTGCACGTTGGCAGACGGAGATAAAAAATGCTGGAATTGTTTTATTTTTTGGATTTAATTAATTTCGTTAAAAGTACATCGAACTGTTGGGAAAGGGTTTCTTCTGAGTTAGAAAAAAATGTTCGCAATAAGATGTTAAATTTATTTCTCCTTCTATTCTTGCCTTGTGTTCTCTAATACCGAAGGGCACCTATTTCGGTTTTAAGCAAGTGGATGTATATCGTTTCTGCACAAATTACTATCTTGATAAAACAAGGAAGAATGAGACTGGAATATAGGCATCAGACAACGACACTAGAGCAGTAGCGGCAAAAGCAAGTTGCTTTTAAGCATATCAGGACACTTACCCCCTGAACAATCACCCCCGGAATATTACCGCCGGAAACTACCCCCCCCCCCCCGAGGAGAACCACCGTTGGACAATTACCCCCTAGGACAAATACGCCCCCAAGAACAACCAACCCGAGGACGAATACACAGTTCATGAAAATGTCCCCCTGTTCATTAAAGGGGAAATTCACCCTGATAAAAATTGGTTTCAATACAGCATTTTTTTCGGGAGGTAATTGTTCTCGGTGGGGGTAGGGTGACCGTTCAAGGGAGGATTTTTTCAGGGGGGAGGATAATTGTCCACGGGGGGGGGGGGGGGGGGTCATTGGCCAGGGGGTAATTGTCTGAACTGCTTTTAAGAAGCCGACCTGCGAAGCGGCCGTGGAAGGGATGGGGGAGGGGTGCAGATCACTGGAAGGATAACCATATTGAAGGCACATGATACTCCGGGCAAAAACCACATGTGAGGGAATATCAGATGAATTCTGTCGAGTTCACAATCATACCCTGTACATAAGTCATAATTATTAAAACGGTCTGACAATTAAGGCTTAGGCCTATTCTCTGGGGAAAATGATAAATTTACCCATTTTATTGCACTCTCGGGAGGGGCACCTTGTAATTAGTGGAGACATGTACGTGCCGTGTACGTATTAAAGGATTATGAAATAAGGGCACAAACATAGGCGCCGGAAATGGGGGAGCAAGGGGGCAGTTGCCCCCCAGTCAAAAAAGTGGGGGGGGGGAGGGGGGGGGGGGGGGCAAAACGCATTTTTGCCCCCCCCCCCAAAAAAGCCCCCCCCCCCTCCAAAAAAAAAAAGCAGTAAAGGGGTAAACATGGTTTGTATTTTTAACCCAAAAGAACATAACAAAAATAAAAACCTGAAAAAATCACATATACAATTCCATTCAAAGAAAAGGAAAGTTCACAGGAATTAAATTTCATAAACATTGCGCATGAATGCCACCTATACGGTAGTTATCAATGGAGGTCTTTATAATAGCGATACGCGCATATCGTGGACATATTGTGCGAGAATGGGAAAGCGTGTCTGTTTTTTTGTTATAGGGGTGAGAAGACATGAGCCCCTGAGCGCTGGCGTACTGATGGGGGGGGGGGGGGGGTGTATTTCTTATTCGATACCAGTGATTTACAAATGTTGCTGTTATGACATTTTCCGGTATTTTTTCTCCATTTTTTTAAAAGTCATACCTTTTTATGCGTTTGTTGGAAAATAAGAAATTCCCAAATTACAGTCGGGCGAAAAATACGCTTGTTAATAAGCCTTTATGTCATGGTCTGCAAAGTGGCTGGGCTCGAGCCCGAGCCCCCCCCTCATTTTTTGAAAAAGTATGTTATAGATAAAAAGAAAGAAAGAGGGAGAGAAAAAAATAAGTGACCTCCCAATGTCACAAATAAGGTATAAAAAATGCCTGAAACCCCAGAGCTAACGGGGGCTCTGCCCCGGACCCCACCAAGGGCCCTAAGGTGGTTCCCTGGATGCTCATCTGACCGTAATTAAATACCTAAAACCCCTGAGCTTCCAGGGGCTTTGCCCCCTGGACCCCACCAAGGGCCCTAAGGCGGGCTCCTGGATGCTTATCTGACCGTTATTAAATACCTAAAACCCCTGAGCTTTCGGGGGCTCTGCCCCCTGGACCCCACCAAGGGCCCTAAGATGGGCATTTGGATGCTCATCTGACCGTTATTAAATACCTAAAACCCCTTATAAGGTATTAAAAAATGCCTGAAACCCCAGAGCTAACGGGGGCTCTGCCCCCGGACCCCACCAAGGGCCCTAAGGTGGTTCCCTGGACGCTCATCTGACCGTAATTAAATACCTAAAACCCCTGAGCTTCCAGGGGCTTTGCCCCCTGGACCCCACCAAGGGCCCTAAGGCGGGCTCCTGGATGCTTATCTGACCGTTATTAAATACCTAAAACCCCTGAGCTTTCGGGGGCTCTGCCCCCTGGACCCCACCAAGGGCCCTAAGATGGGCATTTGGATGCTCATCTGACCGTTATTAAATACCTAAAACCCCTGAGCTTATAAGGTATAAAAAAATGCCTGAAACCCCAGAGCTAACGGGGGCTCTGCCCCCGGACCCCACCAAGGGCACTAAGGTGGTTCCCTGGATGCTCATCTGACCGTAATTAAATACCTAAACCCCTGAGCTTCCAGGGGCTCTGCCCCCTGGACCCCACCAAGGGCCCTAAGGCGGGCCCCTGGATGCTCATCTGACTGTTATTAAATACCTAAAACCCCTGAGCTTCCGGGGGCTCTGCCCCCTGGACCCCACCAAGGGCCCTAAGTCAGCCCCTGGATGCTCATCTGACCGTAGTTAAATATTAAAACCTCTGAGCTTCTGGGGGCTCTCCCCCCTGGAACAGGTCAATAGCCTTAAAGAGGGCCCTGGATGCTCATCTAACCGTAATTAAATACCTAAAACCCCTGAGCTTCCGGGGGCTCAGCCCCTTGACCCCCTGCCGAGGCTCATGCCCTGGATCCCACGCCAATTTACGCTCTACCTAATCGTTAATACTCCACTTTGAAAAAAGTTCCGCGGGACCTGCATGTTACGTGTAATACTGGTGGTGATGCAGATTTTTCGTCTGCCCCCCCCCCCCATTAGAACGTTTTCTCATGGCGTCACTGTCCCTAGAAGGTGAGCCCCCAAGAATGTGTGCCCCCCAATCCCGAACTGCTTCCGGCGCGCCTGGGCACAACAGTTTAAAAGGGGCACGTACGTGATAAGGACGCACAGCATACAATTTTATGAAAGGTCACTGTTAGCCGGTTGCCTCGTCGGTTCTCGGTCACTTCTACTCTCTGTACCCCGGTGGACAATGACCGACAATCACACCCGGCCAATTACGAGCGAGACAATTACCCCTTAGGAAAATAACCCCTGGAAAATTACCCCCCCCCCCCCCCCGAGGTCAACCACCTCGAGGACAATTTTATACCCCTGAAAATTATCCCCTTGGACAATCACCCCCTAAACCAAATTATTATCAGGGTTCACTTCCCCTTTAATAAACGGGGGGGGGGGGGGGTATTGTCCGGGGTCACGGGGGGGGGTGGTTTTCCTAGCTTGAGGGGGTGATTGTCCATGGGGTAATTGTTAAATTTACAGGCTGATTTTATTATATGAGTTGTGTTTGTGTATACTTTGTTTAATTGTTAACATATCAGGGAGTCCATTCCAACTCCCTGCTAATTACAAATTTATTTTGGACAATATTTTCTCGCCACTGCATGCACTGCCTGCACTATGATTATAGCTAGTTGTGTAGAGCACTTGAGTTGAAAGTTGAGCAGCTGTCCGTGACGGTCACTGTCGAACCGGAAGAGACGAAGAAATATGTGAATTTCCTATGAATCTCTTTGAAAAATCATTGCTGAATCATGGCCTTTGTTGATGAAGATCTGAGTATTAAAGAAAGGTAAATATAAGTATGATTTGAGGAACGAAAAAGTTAGAAAACCCATTTCACCGATTCTATCGGTCCCACCTGCTAGTATTAATGTTGGCTCTAACAGTATTAAGTTAAACTTGTATTTCAGTTAGAATCTAGCCTTCTAAAATTCTAGGTCTATGACAGAAAGAGTATGACAATTTGCGTGTGTGTGAAAGTGTAATCGATATTTGTTTTTCTTACTATACTTATCAGTCGAAAATATCAGATGAAATATTTATCAGTATCGTATCATGGGCCATCACTTTTCTACTATTTTTGGATGACAAAAAAAAAAGGGGGGGGGGGTGCTGAGTCAATTGTTAGACGTAACCTTCAAGTAAAGGCTGTCACTATGACATAACAAATTTGAAATTAATTGAACAAGTATTAGAGATACAGATTCAATTTACACTAAAACTGGATGTTGTAGGCCATATAACAAAGAAATAAAGAAAGAAATTCTTTCACAGTTTCTCAATTTTCTTTCACAAATATGTTGCATGCCTGCTATTCAACCTTAGAAAGAAAATTGAGAAACTGTATGTCATTTCAGAATAAATTTACAGACGTGTATCCCTTTTATGTTGCAGGTTTTCTCTTTTGCTGCTTGACCCGGGTGAGATATACTTTGAAGACTTCAGCGTTTACTTCTACCCAACTGGACTCAAAAGCATATCAGAAGAGGAAGCTACAAGGAGGTAATAAACAATAGCGTAGCTATCGGGGATAGGGGGGCACAAGAGGCATGTGCCCCCTTAAGTTACCCCCCCCCCCAGAAAAAAGAGGGAAGACAATGTTTTGAAGATGTTTTGAACAACAGTCTATAGAATGGTAGTAGTTATGGTAACATTTTTGGTAATGTTATTGGTAATGAAGGTGATAATGATGATGCTGATGTTGTTGATGATGAGTTGCTGATGATAATGACAATGATGATGACAATGACTGTGACGGTTGACAGTAAAAATAGCAATGACTATGATTTTTTTTTTTAATGTGATTTTATGATAGGCGATGCAGAGGAAGACTGAAGATTTGTTCCAAATCGATCGTCTTTGATCCCCAAGATGTCTCCCAACCTATCATGAAGTTTCCCCTTCGAAGTTGCATCAAGATTGAGGAATGGAGCCCGCCTCTCTTATCCAAGTATGGCTTATAGTTAGATCTGAATGGCATATATAATATTTTGTGATGCAATGTACATATTGCACTGGCAGCTAATATCTTTTGAAGACTTCATTTTCTCAACAACATATTTCACCAACATATCTTATGTGCATTTATGTAATTTGAATGTCTGTGTAGCCTTGAAAACTACAGAAGCATGAGTAATTGTTTAATATAACCTAACACAGTAATAAAGAAAAAGAATCTTGTTCATCCTGCCATAGCAGTGTTATGTTTAAATTTGGAGTTCTGAATCAGTTTTTTAATATTCTTGAAGAAGAAAAAAATTCCTTCGATATTACAGTGATGTATAAATCACTGTCAGCTTGTTGCATTACTTTCCTTCCCAACTAATCAACAATTATTTTTTTTCACTGGTTTCCTATTTTCAATAAGGTTATCAGCTAATGTTTGTTGGGTTTTGTTCTCTTTTAAAGATATGCGAGGAGAGAAGAATTTACAGTAACGTTTTGAAGTTACAGTCTTACCGATCATTCAGGCATAGTGAAACATTCCATTCTTTTTCAAAACAAACTTTGCTAATCACTCATAGAAGTGACTTATAAATGAGTGAAATTGAAAAATTTCAAGTTTTCTCTTTACTTCACCATACAGGATTGGATCAAAGCGGGACACTCTATTCATCCAGACCCCTCAAACCATTCAAATGAAAGCTGGCAATGAAATAGGGCCTTACAACTTCAAAAAGGTATGCATAAGATTTTTATGTATTTACAGTTTGCATGTGGGTTAGATTTTTCATGAATTTTATCAGATTTGACAGATTGTTCATCATTTTTAAGACACACATGTACTAATAATTCTTGATTTAACTTTATTCACACAATCTAAAGTGACACTTTTCAAGTTCATATAAGTGGATATCTTTAATACTGCATTGAAGTCGAATAATAGAGAACTTAAATATTTATTCCATTTGGTTTTATTGCACTTGTGTAGCAACAATTTGGATGCTATTTCTGTATATATCAAATAAATTAATAATGGATTAAAAGCTGGTGAAATACTCTTATGAATAAATTATAGTTATGTAATTTGCTGTTAAATTGCAATGTTTTGAGAATGTGATGGAGTTGTATCAAACAGAATAAAATAAAAGACAATTCTATTAATGTTTTTAAATTAAACCCAATTTTGCCTTCACAAAACATACATCTAGCAAAATAATACCCTTGATATGCAATATTCACTGTAGGGCCTATATTTAGTCTCATTTATAACAAAACTTAGTAAAATTTATAGTTTTAAATTCAAACTATAAATATTAGAAATATATTATTATGTATATTGTAATAATGCATGAAAAATACTTTTCATATTCAAAAAAATTTGAAAAGCTCATTTCAAATTAATTTTTAAATTCTTCTTCACTCTTGTGCATTTCTATTTCATTTTTAGGGTGATAGCCAGTATTTTTTCACCCTGAACTTTGGGACAGCTGAAGATGTGGTACACCCGGCTAATCAGCTGGCCAGAGCAGCTACTCTTCCTATGGCGGATCAAGATGCTATGGTGAGAAATGTTCTAGTTGTTAATCACCATGGCGATCTTTAGCAGTAGCATACTTTTGTCATTGTCCTCATTATTATCATCACCATCGTCATCATCATCATCATCATCATCATCATCATCATCATCATTGTTTTCTTTTATCTTTATTGTCATTGTTATTATTGTCAACAATTAATCATATTTCTATCCTCTTCAGCAGCAGTAGCAGCTGCAACATCAATATCGTAATTATCATTAACACTATGATCATTCTCATCATCTTCATCATCACCTTTATTTTCATCACCATCATCATCTTCTTCTTCTTCTTAAGCATTCTCTTAATTTTAGTGGAATCAAATATTATGAGGTGGTTACATAAATGACTTTTTGTTATGAAGTCAGTGTTGCATTTGTTATCTCTTTTCTTTTAATAGAATTCATAATCCCGGTATCCAGTAACATAGCATACATGCCAACTGTTCAGATTAAAGAGGAACATTCCTCTTTTTGGGAGAAGATAATTATCATTTTAATGCAGGTGTTCCTCTTCCTGTACAAATTTGTCTGTAGTATTGAATAGGAGAGTTAGGATTGTTCCTCTTTTTTTTGAAAATAGCATAATTTGTACAGATTTCTGATTTTCAAATGTTGGCATGTATGACATAGGCATAAGCTCTTGCAGAATACTAAATGTCGTGATTATTGATGTTGTAACAGACTTTCAACCTTTTGTTCTCCCAAGATTGCAACCATCGTGTACTCCAGGCAGAAGAGGGTGAAGTTTGACACGAGTCGTCTTGAGAGCCTCTACGAGACCATCGTCGTGGAGATGGTAGGGGAGCGCATCACTCCACTGGTGGTCAATCCAGGTCGCATCATGGTCACATCTACTATACTCTACTTTCAGCCGTTTAATAATGTAGAACCAGTAAGTCACGCTACAAGTTGATAAGGATTTTTTTTTTTTTTAAAGGTGAAATTCAAAGAAAATCACAAATATGTCAACTAATGTATCACTAGAAACTGGTAAGCTAACAGATGGCCGTCGTACAAGTTTTCGTTCAACTACATATCGGGTGATTTATAAAAATACAAATACAACCACCTCCATAGCAGCTGGGATATACGAGAGATTCGCCGGAAAAATAACAATGTTTTAATGACGTCACTATATGGACCAATACTGCCTAAGCAGACGACGTCCCATAAAGAATGAACATAATTGCAAAGCTATCATTTGTCAAATTATAATGAGTTTAGTGTATATAAATGTAATGGCATGTCAAACCATTCAAAAGGGGATATGACCCGATTCTAATAACTAAAATCTTTTGCTTGTAAATACATGGGATAGGGGTTCATTAACAATCAAAGAAACCAGACTTTCAAATTGAAAAACCCCCGGAATGATATTGAGGACGGCATTTGTTCCCTCTTGAAACGCCGAACATACCGCGGAGTGTGCAGCTGAATATACAATGGCGTCTTATTTTGTTTACAAGCGACAGATTCCTTTATTTTTGTATCGCTGCATTTGTCATGAAAATAAAACCATGCACGGGTTTAGAGTGAGGCAATAGATTTTACATTTAGCCTGACGGTAGTGAAGTAAGAGAAAGAATTCAAGAGAAGATGAAAGCACAGGCACTGAAAATGTGTGAGATGTCATGGGACATCGTCTGCTTGTGCCCATCATGTCCATACTGTGATCTCACACACCTCAGCAGCGTTCGGAGAGCTCTTCAGGTGCTATGCCGGGGCTGTATTTAAGCGTTTTGTAATTTATAATAATCATTACTTCGAATGTTTCCAAGCATTGAATTTTGATAACCTTGTCGAATCAAAGTTTCAACTTTGCAATGATGAAAATAAAGTGAGTTTTTAAAATCAATGAATATCTACTTTAAAGCGGGACTGCACTACTTGGTTCCCTGTTTCCTTTGTTAAATGAGAGCTGATTTGATGAGATAACCACCTGTAGGTGACCATGCAGGGAGGTCTAATCCCTCCTGGCCAAACTAATGCAGATAGGCTTTAAGTATGCAGATGAAAAATGAATTAGAATTATCTACGGGTAATTGTTCTTTGTCTTATCCACTTCCCTGATGAAAAGTATCCCTATTAAAACCTCTTTAGCCCATTAATGAAATTCTTTTGTAATCTGACATATTAACATTTATGCAAAATGAATAATTCTCATTCTGAAATATGTAAATGGAGTGACAAGAATTTTTAAGTGGTTATTTTGACGATGTTTGTCATTTTGCAGTTTTGTTTTTCAACCTTGGTACTTTTAATGATATTCTCTCTTTGATATGGAGGGTGCAAGATGGGACTTTGCTTGCGCTTTTGTCTATGTCTCCTTTCTTGGGTGTGAAACAGAAATCAATAATGCCATCAGTGTTTCCATTAACTTGTCATCTATTTATTTATAATAATTTGTCACCTGTGTCTATTTTGTAGGTGCCTGTTATGAAGATCAAGCTTTCTGATATCAAGAGACTAGTGAAGAGGCGGTTCCTATTGAAGCATGTGGTAAGGAAGATAACTAACATTTTACAACATTTTTGTCACATTGATTTGATTATTTATAGTGTAATAATTGATCAGAATTTAGTTCATGTCCTCTATTTGAATTTAGCCAAGGGATGACTTATTTTTCCAAAACAGAGATGACGAAAAGCATATTGCTTTTAAAAGCACAGAACATGTTTCAATGTTACAAAATTCCATCATCAGTCATAGGAATACAATTGCATTTATTTCTCTCTTTATATGGTACTAGGAAAGAAAATATAATGGAAGCCTGAATAAAATGAGGGTTTGAAAAGAGCAATATAGTGTAGTTGCATAATATAAAACTGGCATATTATTTGTTAATATTATTATACAGCATAAGGTTTGAATAGAACTCTTCATTCACATATTGTTTTTAGTCCCACTCATCTCTTTTTCTGTTTGTTCATGCCACTTCATACCAGGGCCTGGAGGTGTTTTGTGATGATTCGATCCGGTCCAATCTATTCCTAGTGCTTTCTAAACCAGAGGAGAGAGATGAACTATACGCCAAGGTCGTTGAACAGCCAGGTGAGGTTTGCTTCAACTATCATTGTCAATAGACAGGTTTACTAACATATTCAAAGTTAGGCATACTGTTGAAAGAAAAGGTTGTTCTTGACAACCTGAAGGCTTGTCATATGCTTGCCTGACATGGCAACAAGCAGTGTATGCAGACTGGATACCAAGTATTGTAGTTCATTTATTAATAACAGGTTAATGGTCTAACTTGTCACATGGTCCCCCAATGAGGAAAGAAACATCCATAAACTTGAATATACAGTGAAACCTGTTTATAAAGACAACCCAAAGGAGACAAGACAAGTGGTCTTTATGGACAGGTGGCCTTTATGTACAGGTAAATGTTTCAATGAGAAACCATATTCTAGGGAAACAAAAAATATGGTCTTTGTAGACAGGTGGTCTTTCTTTACTGGTTTTCACCATAGCAGGTTTGATTGTATATCGATGTAAGCTTTGCAGTGGGCCAGTGGTGTTGTGACACATGCTCTCGCAACAATTGCTCTGCTGTCAATTCCTAAAGTGTATCCATAACCAAACATCTAACTTCAACCTTGAACCTACCCAACGCTACATTTAGCCGTAAAATAACATGCAACCCAATGGCAACCCTAACCCTGTCTCTGAATCTTTGCCAAATGAAACCAGGAGCAAATGTCACTAGGGGTTTGTGTCAGATCACCTGGCCAGCAGAGGCATAACACACAGGATTTTTGTTACCGAGCATAACCACTATTTTCACAAAATCCCAGGGTTCGCAATAACAAACCACCTCAAAATCCATGAACTTCCTTATATTGTTATTGGTATATATGCATCATCATACAAAAAAAAATAGATGAAAGTTATTTTTAATTTGGTATTTTCTCTCCATTCTTCAGGTGTCAGGTTACAAGAATCGGGACAGGAGAACATGATGTTGCTATGGCAGAATAAAGTTATCTCAAACTTTGACTACCTCATGTACTTAAACAGGTGAGATGCACTACTGCAGAGAATTAGAAAAATGTTATTGATATGGTTCATTTCATGTTTAAGATGTCTCTAATATTTTTCAAGAAAATCTCTAAAATTATCATACTGGAGGATTTCATGGTTAAATAAATGAGAAATTTGTATTGGAATGGACTGGGAATGACTTGATGATTTTCTATAATTTACTGTGAATATATTGTCATGATTTAATATTCATGATAAGAATATTTGTGATCTGGCATTCATGCAACTTGATTGTGTATGGAAAATCATCAAGCAATTATTACTGTCTATTCATTAAAAAGTCAGGTTCTTTTTTTCTTCAGTATATTGGAAGGTTATTCTTCTTAAAAGGGGAATATTGTAGATTTTTCAGCTTTTGAAAATCTCTTCCTCTTCCTCTTCCTCTCAACGAAGTAGCTGAAGGAATTTTGTTTTCGGGTTGTCCTTCCGTATGTCCCGTTCTTGTGATCTCGTTATCTCAAGAACCGATTGATGGATTCCTGCCAAACTTGGGTCATGTATGAATCTTGCAGATCCATTAAACTAATTAGATTTGGGGGCCATGAGGTCAAAGGTCATTGGGGCTCCATTAAATGTATTCAAAAATAAATTTTGAACGCATTGTCAATAGAACTGACAGATGGATTACTATCAAACTCAGGACATGTATGCATCTTGATGAGCAAATGAACTGGTTGGATTTGGGGTCATGAGGTCAAAGATCAAAGGGTCATACATGTATATGAAAAATAGCTTGTAATCACGATATTTTGAGAACCTGTTAATGAATTACAATTAAACTTGGATTTTAGAAAAGGCTTCTGTTTAGGTTTGTAAAATTGCTCTACGGCGGACTCTGGAGGCATCATCTTCGACTGTGCGAAGTCGAAGATCAATCTAGTTTGTTTTTGTTTTTGTAATGATTTTATTTTCTGTTCATTGCACTGTCTATTTTATCCATGTTCCTAACCGTCATCTTCCCATCTCTCAGTCAAGCTGACCGCAGTATCAATGACATCACACAGTACCCAGTCTTCCCATGGATCTTAGCAGACTACACAAGCCTTGAACTTGACCTCAGTGACCCTTTGACCTTTCGTGACCTCAGTAAACCAATCGGTGCCATTAACACCAAGAGACTTGAGAGATTCAGGGTAAAATTTAGTTTTTTTTTGTCATGCATAATTCAGTCATCACTGTATCATATTTTTGTATTTCTTTGTGATGGTTATTAAAGATTAAAGATAGAGGTTTCTGCATGCTCATCAAGGATGCTCATTGAGGACAAATGTTGAATATTCACTGTGTTTGAAAATACTGTCACTTAAAGTTGTTTTTAACAATTCAACCACATAAAAACAATTTGGACCATGAGCTTGTGTGACTGACAAAGTTGGGAAACCAATATATTGGGGCTACAAATTAAAGGCACTTTGTCCCATTTGCAGGCCCAAAAAATTTAAAGGTTAGATTCCAAATGCATTTGAAAGGTAATACTAATTTAGAACTTGATTGCAATCACTAAAGTAATAGTCTGATTTTCAGACCCTTGTACCGAATGGTTGTACATTTTGTGCTACTTAAAGATTCAATCAGTTTAATTTTAGCCATTACAAGAATTGGGTTATTGATGTAGACAAATGCTCATGTACCCTTTACAGCTCATTTTTTGTATGTTATTAGTGTCCGACAGTAAAGTCTAGAAATTAAACGGATTTCCTTGCATAATTTGAATATTAGGACACTGCTAAAGTTAAAATTTCACAGATAGGACATATGTGACATGTTCATAATTCCTGCAAAGTTCTACATAATTTGATGTTGGCTACAAATGGGACTTATTTTTTACTACTAATGCATTATTATTGTTAATTAACTATTATTCGACTATTACAGGAGAGAAGGAAAGACATGCCAGAGCCTAAGTTCCTCTACGGTTCCCACTACTCTACTCCTGGGTATGTCTTGTATTACCTGGTGAGGGTAGCTCCGGAAGAGGCACTCTGCTTGCAAAATGGCAGGTTTGACCAACCAGATAGGCTCTTTAAAAGGTGAGAATATGATGATTTTCTTCCAGAGATATGGTACTTTTCCTGTTGTCCCATTGTACTTCATGCTATCTTTTCTTATAATTGATGAAAACATCAGTTGTAACTGGAAATATTATTTTGATTTGAATATGCCATGTGCTGAATTGATTCCTCTGACATTTTTGATGATAATTTCTCATTATATTGCTTGCTTTGTGTTTGCGACTCTCCCCCCTTCTCTCTCTCTCTCTCTCTCTTTCTCTCTCTCCCTCTCTCTCTCCTCTCCCTCCAAACGCCATCACCCTCTCCCTCTCCTGCTCCCTCTCCCTCTCCCTCCTCTCTATTTCTCTCCAGACTGGCATCTACTTCCCCTCTTCCAATAGCAGGGGTATCACTAACCACAAACACAAATACATCATTTCTTTTGTACTTTCAATCCATTCCTTCACTGCAGCTGAGACATGAAACAACATCCTATTGCTGCCTCCTGATGTGTGAAACACCTTCCCCCCCCCCCTCTCTCTCTCTCTCTCTTCAGAACTGCTCTTTACCCTTCACACCACAGAAAACCCAATCAATTGTTCATACATTCTTGTGTAATCTCCTTTCATTCCTTCAGTGCGGCCGAGACGTGGAACAACGTCCTTTCCCTGCCTTCCGATGTGAAGGAGCTGATCCCTGAGTTCTACCAGCCTGAGATGTCAGATTTCCTCATCAATCGGAAGGGTCTTAAGCTGGGAACATGTCAGGATGGCTCCACGGTAACCAACGTTGTGCTGCCCCCTTGGGCCGATGGTAAGAAATTATCAATGCTGTAGGTGTTCAGTCAGATCCACCAGTTTGGTTGTTAAACTTTGAACCGAAAATATACTCTTCCCGACAGCGGTCAAGATTGGTCTACTGCTATGGGCTGGTATTATTAGATACCAATAATAACTGAAGTGCACCCAATGCTAAACCATTGTGCTGGTAACATTTGAATGTAAAATGTAACCCTTATCTGCAGTGGCCAAGGTCATAACCACCCCTGGGCTATAATTTATGGTACCACTAACCAGGCACCCAAGGCTGCACTATTTTGTTGTTCATTATTGAATATGAAAATTAACCATTCTCCACAGTTGCCAAGGTTTTACAATTACAATTAAGTTCAGGTACAATTATTCATTTGCACTTAATTAATGAAAGTATCCTAACACCTCAAATATTGTTTACAAACACAAGTAATACATTCTGCATTAAGGTTCATCATCACTACTGCGATTATTTATTCTTGTGAAGAATTCCCAAGTAGAGTGGATATTAATATCTCTCTTCTTTGTTTCAGATGAAGCTGACTTTTGTAGGAAGTGTCGTCAGGCATTGGAGAGTGACTACGTCTCGCATCATCTCCATCACTGGATCGATCTTATCTTTGGCTATAAACAGAAAGGTCCGGAATCAGAGGCAGCTGATAATGGTAAGTTGATTATCTTATCTTTATGAGCACACCAATCCGCGAAAGGATTGATAAATATGCGATACTGATGTACGTCTATTATCCATTCATATTAAATATAATTACTTCCCTTTTTTTTATGTTTAATTTTTAGGACTTATGTGACATTAATTGTTGATTTTGTGTTTATATGTAACCTGATACATGTTGTTAGAGAGAGAGAGAGGGAGGGAGGGAGGGAGAGAGAGAGAGAGAGAGAGAGAGAGAGAGAGAGAGAGAGAGAGTTTGGGTTTAAACTGAAGGTATTGGAAGACACCATCTTCAAACAACTTGATATTGCATTTTTTCTAATCCTGAAATAATATCTTTTTTAGTTTGAAAAAATGCTTTGTAATGATCGCTAATTATAATTTCTTTACTTGTATTTTACTAAAATGGTGTTTTTTTTTGCTGGATAACAAGCATATTTGTAATCCATGGGTATAGTTGCCCCTTAAATGTTGGCTTCCTCCAATGTTACCTTTAATAATACCTTCGTAAGGACCAACCCTTACAATTTTTTTATTACTCTCAATAGTTGCATAACAAGATGTATTATTTTCTTTTCTATGTACATAATATGTGTCCATGGATATATGAGGGTACTAGCGTATACTTTAAAAAAAGAGTTCAAATTCGCTTGTGTCCTGTTCCTGCAAAGTAATTAGTATTAACACTTAAAATAGCATGCTTTCAGTTTTTCTTGTCTGAACTTAATTAATTATTGTTTGAGGCTGTTGGTTATTGCTTTTAATTCGTGTCATCAAAGGTTTCACGAGAAGTTCAAATATGTAGGGAAGTGCCCTCTCCTTAATCATGTCTGTAGAGCCCCCAATAGAATGCTGCTGCAAAGTGGAATTACTAAAAGCCTATGACACTTCACTTTACTGCATTTTACAGTTAGGTATGGGGGGGGGGTGGGAGATTTGTTGCAATTGACTGCTCTGTAACCACTTCCTCCAAAGGCGAAACTGTCTATTGACGCTCTCAAGAGATTGCTATTATAACCATTTGATATCTCTGTCTGCGCAGGGTTGTTGCATTTTGAATTTGCAATACAATAATGGTCTTGTGCATGCCTTGTGAGATCTTTCTCATCCTATGATTATAAATCTGATTATCTGATGTATTGTCAGGATTTCAATTTCATTCTCGTGCAGTTGTTGATGCACCTGACCGTAGTTTCACTTTAAAATAAATATGAAAGAAAGCGGCAGCTTTGTAAGGAAGTACCCCAAAACACAATTCCTATTCAAAAAGGCAAAAGTATGGTTAAAGAACCTGTATTTGGAATATGCTGAATGAACTTGCTTTGCTTCCTCAAAGTGACCCCACTTTTAGTTTCCTTTCACTGACACATTTCTCATGTAGATCATTATTGTCACTAAATGAACTTACAAATTAAAGTTACAAAATGAAGGGGAAAAATATACACTTTTATATTAACCATGAATGTGCCAATTGTTAAAGTGTATTGTACTGTTTAAAAAAAAGGTCTTGAAGTCATTCTTAGAGAGAGCTTAGAGAGAGAGAGAGAGAGAGAGAAAGAAAAGAGGTGTGATTTTTTTGTTAATGTTTAGTTCCTATGTGACCCTGTTTCTTGCTTTGCAGTTTCTGCATGTCATTTAAATATATTTGTTCCTGTCACCTGTGTCACATCAGTTGCTGAAAGAAAAGGATAATCTAAGATTTAGTTTGGTGAAATCTTGCCTATTTATACAACAGTCCTGTCAATCACCCTTTCATAATTTTGTAGTTCCAAGCTTGAAGCAAAAAACAGGAACTACTAATCAAGGCGAGGATGTCACATTTAAAGGAGTCTGAATTTCCTTTGTGTATTTTGTTACATTGACTTCAAGCAGGAATCTGCCTTGTGGCACCTCTAGACTGTTAATGTGTTAGATCTAGTTAAACTGTTAAAGACTGCTCTGTTCACATATTATGGGCATTGCATCTTATATATAATAGTTCAGAAATACCCTGTTCACATATGGACATTGCACCTTTTCTTTATATGAAGCTCAGAAATACCCTGTTCATATATATGGGCATTGCACCTTATCTATAATAGTTCAGAAATACCCTGTTCATATAGGGGCCTTGCTCCTTATCTTAATAGTTCAGAAATACCCTGTTCATATATGGGCCTTGCTCCTTATCTTAATAGTTCAGAAATACCCTGTTCATATATGGGCCTTGCTCCTTATCTTAATAGTTCAGAAATACCCTGTTCATATAGGGGCCTTGCTCCTTATCTTAATAGTTCAGAAATACCCTGTTCATATATGGGCCTTGCTCCTTATCTTAATAGTTCAGAAATACCCTGTTCATATATGGGCCTTGCTCCTTATCTTAATAGTTCAGAAATACCCTGTTCATATAGGGGCCTTGCTCCTTATCTTAATAGTTCAGAAATACCCTGTTCATATATGGGCCTTGCTCCTTATCTTTATATGAAGCTCAGAAATACCCTGTTCATAATTGGCTAAGGTTCTGTAATGCCCTGTTCATATTGTATAAGAGCATCACACCCCCTCAGTATGTCAAAATTAGAAGTTGTCATGTGGCTGACTGCAGAAGGTTGTTCGTATGCACGCATGCCAAATTTCTTGTAATTCACTTACAATTTTTTTTTATTGCTGTACATCATTTGTTAAGCATGATAGGGATTTCTTTCTTTATCAGATAATAAGAAAGTGAAAATGGATGGTAATTACCCAATTTGATTTGTTTCATATCAAATAATAAAAGCACATATTCTTGAAGTTACAGGTATTGTAATGCTTAGCACCTTACGCTAACCCCCCCCCCCCCCCCCTCTGTGAACGGAGGGATACCATGCGTGTTCCCAAACTCTCCGGCTCGTAACAAAAGAAAAAGGTCGACCCGTATTGACTTTACACACCAGACTTTTGCTGAAAAGGGGGGGGGGGGGGGGGGGGGGGTGCCGAAAAAGGCTTGTTAAGAAAAAGGTTGACCCGTATTGACTTTACACACCAGACTTTTACTGAAAGGGGGGCGGGGGGCGGGAGGGGGTAGCTGGGAACAAGCATGTGCATACCCTAAATAACACTGAGTGGGGGGGGGGGGCGCTTAACACAAAACTACACATCCACGTTTAGCGGAACGACAGGAACGACGCAACACAGTTTCCCCCCTTCTACCTGCTACAGGACGAAATGCTGTGCTTATATTAGGGCCATGCACCAAATCAGGAAATGCCCTCTTTATATTAAGATCAGACGGTCTCCCTGCTCAAAAAGGCCATTCACTTCACCTATTAAAGTCCACAGTATATTAGATCCAGATACATGTATGTGGTGTTTTAATTGGCTATGCTTTTCCTCTGTACATGAAATTAATAAATTGGCTATACACCAAGTCAGGAAATGGCTTGTTTATATCATATTCAGAGCTGCTCTGCTCATAAAAGCCATTCACCTCAGTCCACAGTGTATTAGATTCAGAAATGCAGAGTTTATGGGCTAGTATGCACCTGAGTAATCAAGTTGAGTGCTTTTCCTCTGTACATGAAATTAAAAAATTGGCTTTACACCAAGTCATGAAATGGCTTGTTTATATCAAATTCAGAGCTGCCCTGCTCATAAAAGCCATTCACTTTAGTCCACAATATGACAGATTCAGAAATGCAGAGTTTATGGGCTATGCACCTAACTAATCAAGTTGAGTGCTTTTCCTCTGTATATGAAATTAAGAAATTGGCTTTACACCAAGTCATGAAATGGCTTGTTTATATCAAATTCAGAGCTGCCCTGCTCATAAAAGCCATTCACTTTAGTCCACAATATGACAGATTCAGAAATGCAGAGTTTATGGGCTATGCACCTGAGTAATCAAGTTGAGTGCTTTTCCTCTGTACGTGAAATTAATAAATTGGCTATACACCAAGTCAGGAAATGGCTTGTTTATATCATATTCAGAGCTGCTCTGCTCATAAAAGCCATTCACCTCAGTCCACAATATGATAGATTCAGAAATGCAGAGTTTATGGGCTATGCACCTAACCAATCAAGTTGAGTGCTTTTCCTCTGTATATGAAATTAAGAAATTGGCTTTACACCAAGTCATGAAATGGCTTGTAAATTCAGAGCTGCCCTGCTCATAAAAGCCATTCACCTCAGTCCACAGTATATCAGATTCAGAAATGCAAAGTTGATATTGATTATAAAAAAACATCATGAGGGTGCAGTTCTTTGCGTTGAACTCCTGGGATGAAAGTGTGTCACAGTGCAGTTTTGGATGTGGGAGACGGCTAGCTGATCTACATGTACATGTATACATTATGTGTCATGCAGAGTTGAATACTGACTGCTGTTTTTGTTTGGTTTCATTTACAGAAAATCATTAATTTGTAGAACTGTCTAGAAATATCTAACGTTCATCTAATTACTTTTAGAAAATTGAGTGACGTGGATTATAGGATTTTTTGTAAAAAGATGATTGATTTGTTTTCAACATTCTAATTTATTTTTTTTTCAGGTTAAAAAAAATGAGATGTTCCCTATGAAAAGCATGTAAAAAATAATTACAAATTTGAATGTATCCTTCATCGTAAAAGAATAAACTATTATTCAGAAATTGAGAACTGATGATTTAGCATATTTGATATAATTTGTAATAGCATGGTATTGTCTCATTCTACACACACAAAAGGGAGCAGAGAGAGTAATTTTGTTCTAAGAAGAGAAAATTCTTAAACTCATCCCTTCAAATGTAAAGTCACAATTTCTGTGCAGCAATTTTTTGAAAAACTCACATGAACAGAAAAATGCACTGTTCTGATTAATTCTGAATGTGCCAGAGAAAACAGAATGAAGTTATCTATAAAATAAATACAGTGTATACATATTTTAAAAACAATTATAAAGCAAATGAAAATTAAATTTGTCTGTTTGGACTTGAATAAGCAAAATATCAGGTTACATTTTCAAAAAAAATTCGCAACAATTTTAGATTGTTTA